GGGTGCCCAGGGCAGCTGGCAGAGTGGTAAATCACTGTGGGGCAGGGGATGAGACTGGGGAAGACCCAGCTGGTGGTTCCTACCCTGCACCGGGCTTAGCTGCTAGTCCCGGCTGGGCAAGACAGGACTTTCTCTCCCCCTGCACAGCATCCGGGGCTGGGTCAGACCCACCCCCAGATTTTTCCCCAGGCTACAAGAAGCTCTGCACCCCCCCACACCCCACTTCCTGCACCCATTACTCCTCAGCTGCAGGAGGAAGTATCACTGTACAGGGAGCTGCTCCCCCATCCGCCTAACTGCCATGCAGCCAGACCCCCTCATATGCAAAGCCTCCTGCCGAGCCTCACCCCCTATACCCAGAAGCCCCCCTACCAAGCCCCACTCCCCCTGCACCTGGAACACCGACGAGCCACCGGCACCCAGATCCCCATACCACATCAAGCCCCACTCCCCCAGCATCTGGACCCCCCCCCACTGAACCTCCCATACCCAGCCCCCCCTGCCAAGCTCTATCCCCCCTGCACCCAGAACCCCCCTTCCACTGAGCCCCAACCACTTTCACCTGGACCCCCCCGCAGAGTCCCATTACCGTTGCACGCAGAACCCCCACAACAAGCCCCTGTGCATCTAGATCCCCCACTGAGCCATCCACACCCACATTACCCCACACAGAACCCTCCCAACCCACATCTGGCTCCCCGCCACACTTGGATCCTCCTGGGCTGAGCCTGCCTGCCCACACCTGGTGCACCTGGCATGGAGGGGCAGGGCCCTGGTATGTTTCTGGGGCAGGCCCGGTCCTTGCGCTGTGTCAGGGTTGGGTGTAACCTCACCATTGAGTCCATGTCCCGGGGGGAGCTGCAAAGTGATCTCCCATCTCTGTGCAGCCAGTAGCCTGTGCTCCCTAATGCCATACTGGAGTCTCCACATTTATTTGACAAATAAAATTTACAGAATTTTGAGATATGTGCAGAACTTTTAATTTTTTGGTGCAGAATTTTTAATATTGGGCACAGAATTCCCTCAGGACTAGTCACTTGCAGGTTTAAACTAGTGTAAACTGAAGTCTTTAAACCATGACTTGCGGATTTCAGTAACTCAGCCAGAGGTTATGGGTCTATTTCAGGAGTGGGTAGGCAAGGTTCTGTGGCCTGCACTGTGCAGGAAGTCAGACTAGATAATCATGATGGTCCCTTCTGGCCTTAAAGTCTATGAGAATTCATAGGCAAAGTGACATTTTTGTAGAGTCCTTCCCTAAACATGAGACAATGAACAAGACACTGGCCAGGAACTCAGGAGAAGTGGGATCTATCCTCAGTTCCACCACTGATCTGCTCTGTGACCTCGGGCAAATCACTTCAACTTTGTGCCTTGGTTCTCCTCCCTGACCCCCATCTATGAAATGGGGATACTGATACTTACCTCTCTTGTAAAGCACTTTGAGATCTCCTGATAATAAGAGCTAAGTATCAAATTCTGATCCTGCAATTAGCTCCAAACAACCAGAGCTCTCTGTAGGTGCAGAGGTCATTGCAGGACCCCAGGGCCTTAGTTAAGTTCACTGCACCTCATAGTCTCAAAGATTATTTTATTTTCCTCTTCTCTCCCCACCTTTAGTGTCATTTACTTCATTGTGATTCGAACCATATGGATGAAGAGTAAACCTCATGCTGCGATTATTTCCAACTGTACTGGTGAGTCTAGACTTTAGAGATGGGCCAAAGCCATAAAATTCTGATGTGGATCTTCTAACTTTTGATCCCCTTAAGTTTGAGAGCATCTGAACTCAGTCTTGGTATGATCCCAATGTCTAATTATTATTATTGAAGGAATTGTTTTCTTTTAATGGCTGTTTGCACAAATAGGTTAGAAATGAGTTGTGAACAATTTCCTCTTTCCTTGGACAGAGAGCCCATTTTCACAGGGGATAGATGATGAGAAAAAAGTGAGATCCCTTATTCCCTCTAAAGCGTCCATGCCTAGAACCAACCCTTTTTTACAATACTTTTGCTACATTTTGATATGCCTTTGCACTTCTGGATTCCAGTCAGCATCAGAAATACCCAAATGCAAAAGTAACAGAGACATGTTCTCCTGGGGTTTCTATCCCTATTCTGTAGGCCAAAGAGACTCAGACTGTTCTGATGTGATTTGGAAAAGTGAGAGTTTTTGGGAAGCTATTTGCTCTGAACCCAAACTACCAACCACTGGATGTTTCCTACTCACTAGCTGTCACCATCTTACTCATTCCCCTACTCACAACAGTACATGCTATGAAATAATCAATTAACCCTGAAGCTTAAGTGGAACCACAGTACTGAGATAGGAAGGAGAGCTATGATTTAATAAAACCAAAAATGTGTAGTCAGTGACACCACCTGAATTGCAGTTCCAATTACACATAGGCCATTGCTGTTTCTGGAGATTTACCTTCAACTCATATTTCAAATTGTTTGTAATTATATTTTATTACTAATTGTAACAATCTGAATGCCTGGATGGGAGGGGGATTTTATTATTATACCACTCTGATGTGCACACTCTAGGTTACCAATAATAAAATTATGCATCCAAAATTTGCACACACCTTTTTAATGCTAGCAGATCCCACACTAACATGCATAAATCAGGTACATTCAGCAATGCAAACATGAATATATCAATATACAGAAGTTTGCCCATTTATACATGAGCAATGAACACTTATGGGTTAGAAACATGACATGATGATGCTTCCACAATCAACATTGCATCATAATTATCAAACCTACCAGTCACAAAACTTGCAAAGATTTCCCTCCCCTCAGCAAGTCTGAGCAGGGCTGGTTTAGATTTCCAGCTACCCCAAATTCATAATGTAACAAGGCTCAGGTAGCCTGGAAGGATAAATCCATCTTATCATCTAAGAGGTATAGTCTCCTTTTGGGACTAGTCCTTAACTCCCATTAACATTAATATGAGATAGTTCAACTTCCAGATGGGATCTTTCACTGGCTACAAAGCCATCTTGATCCTTTTTACCAGTTACACCAATTATGTAGCCTCAACAAGCTCTTGCTGTAAGATGTGCAGAAGACATTAATATACACAGTCTCCCATTACCAAAGAGATCATTAAAGTTTCACTTCTAAGCTGAGGCTACACAAGACAAGAGGTCAGTTAATAAATATGATCCCAAAATGTGTTTATTATATTGAATGTAACTAATTTTACCTTAGAGTTGCCATGGACCAGGCTGTAGCTGGTCTGGGCTAGTAGTCAGAGCCGGAGTCAGGTGTAGTGGGCACAGCAGGCATCCAGGTTGGAGAATGAAGCCAAGGGTCTGCACCAGAGTCAACTGCCAATCACCACATCCAGGGGTCAAGTCAGAGTCAGAACCAGGAATCAAAGCTGAAGGTCAGAGCGGAGTCTGGGTTAGACTAAATGCCAAAACCAACATTTAAGCCAGAGTCTGGGTCAGCAGTTGGAGGCCAGGATCAAAGCCAGGAATGGTAACTGGTGATTGGAGATGAGACATAAGGCAGGAAATGGAGAAGAGATAACGACCAAGCATGGAGCAGGAGCACAGTGGGAACAGGACCAAAGGCAGGAGTGAGGCAGGAACAGAGGAAAAATCATGAACAAGGTTGGGTGCAGGAGAACAAGCAGGGTTGAATGCAGCTACAACAAGAAATCACCTTGTAGCTGAGAGAAACTTCCTGTCCCATCTTCTGGCCTAAATAGCGTGGTTGGACCAACCAGTGCAGCCGGGCAATCCACCAATCAGGGCTCCTGTGGGCGGAGCCTTGGCTGAGGCTATAGTCGTACTAGCTTCTTATCCCAACCAGTTTCAGCAGACCCTGGGTGTAGGCCAGGATGTAGAAGCTGTCTAGGGGGGCCTCAGACTGGGTTCAAACCCTGTGACATCACAACAGAGACAAAAGAAAAATGGATAATCACAGAGAAATCATGTATATTATAGTAATCACTCTGGTGTCATTCAATTATAGCTCTTGATTTTCCTCTCAGTTACCGTAGTGTGTTTTCCACAGAGTTGCACCTGATTTACACTACTGTAACTGAGAAGAGAGTCAGGTTCATGGCTTCTAAATTCAAGGCACATTTCGTTTCTGAGAAGCTGTTCAACAAAAGTCCTTTTAAATTATTATTAAACAAACATGAATAAGGGAAAATATATGATTGATTACCTGAGGGATAAAAAAGAGAAAAGGATTATTTAAGGGAACTGAGAACAGAGCTTTTTAAAATTCTTCTCAATAAAATGCGTTTAAGAAATGAATAGTAATTGTATTTTTCAAGGTCTTTTTTTAGTGACAATTTCTAACACCTTTCACAAAATATCGCATGTAAAGTAGCATTATTGCTGCTGCGTAAGTGGTTACCAGGGCCAAGATTTTCAAAAGTGACTAGTGATTTTGGGTGGCTCAGTTTTTGGCTGCCCAACCTGAGATGTACCTGCCCCAAAAATCAGTACAAAAAGTCAAAATCTCAATGAAATTGTTTTTGAATGTATAAAACAAAACTAATAATCCAAAGAAAAAAATATGCAGATTGGGTCAATGTAAATATTTCATTTTGATAATTCTGAAATGTTTTGTTTAATTTTTTACCTTTTTTATTTTTAAACTTTTTTTAGTATAAATTAATTAAATTTTCAAGATGAAAACTCATTTTGAACCAGAAAACAACACTTAACATTTCAAAAATGTCAAAATGGCGACTGATAATTTTGAAACTTTTGTCCAAAAAAGTTTCAAATAGGAAAATCCATCACATCTCTGATCCTTTTCTGGGAAGTTTTGGTTTTGATGAATCAGCATTTTTGAAAATTAAAAATGTTTTTCAGAAGATTCCCATCCAGTTCTAGTGCTGAGCATCTGATGGATGTTGATTTCAATTAGTGGAAGGTTGGCTCGATTCTATAACTCCATTGATCCCTGCATTTCCTGCTAGTTAATCGGAAGTCCTGCATTTAACCTTTCTCCCTCTTATTTCCCCAGATGGCAAATTCCGTGCCAGCTACACCCATCGAGGGATCATATCAAAGGCTAAAGTTAAAGCTATCAAGTACAGCATTGTAATTATTCTTGGTAAGTGACAATCATACAGTCGGTAGCTATATAGGTAAAGAGAATGAAAAGAGCTGGTATAGATAAGAGAGGGATTTGACTGACTGTAATCCAGAATTTTGGTTACAATGTATTTATGGAAGAACTGCTCTTTTAGCTATAGACAATATAAATGGTTCATCAGCAAATAGTAAAGATATTTAGAAAATGTTTAATTGTGAATGACTTTAACTTGGAATTGTATTTGTCCAGTGTATGTGTATTATTACTTCCACAATGGCATGTGTCTTCATTGTGCTTTACAGACAAATAAAATACAGGTCCCTAACCCAAACTAGTTTCGACCCTTAAAGGTCTAAACATGCACCCCTTGAAGACAAAGGCCCATAGTGCAGGATGTAGGGGTGCTGTTGCACCCCCTGGCTTGAAGCGGTTTCCATCATATATAGGGTTTACACTTTGGTTCAATGGCTCTCAGCACCCCCACTATACACATTGCTCCAGCACCCCTGTAAGGGCCAGATCCTCAGCTGAAATAAGCTGATGTAGCACCATTGACTTCAATGGAACAAAACAGGTTACATCAGCTGCAGATGAGTCCCAAAGTGTCCCTGACTTCAACAGGAGCAGCAGCAACTCCAGTAGTCACTGGTTAATTGAGCTCATTATGTCCATAACATTCAGCGGAATAATTCCAGATCCTCTTCAGGGCTGACTATGGTGCCACGGTAGCAATAGGTAAAGAGGGTGCCCCTAGGCCCCGCCGCCGGCACTGCAGCGGGGCTAAGGCAGGCTTCCTGCCCGCCCTCGCTCCACACCGTTCCCAGAGTGGCTGGCATGTCCCTGCAGCCCCTGAAAGGGGGTCTCCGCGCGTTGCCCTGGCTTGAGCGCCAACTCCACAGCTCCCATTGTCTGGGAACTGCGACCAATGGGAGCTGCGGGGGGGGGGGCGGTGCCTATGGGCAGTGGCATGCAGAGACCCTCTGGGCCCCCTGCCTAGGAGCCGCTGCCAGAGTGGTGTGCCGGTTGCTTTCGTGAGTTGCCCGAGGTAAGCACTGACCCCCTCCTGCACCCCAACCCCCTGTCCCAGCCTACAGCCCACACTCCACACCCATGCCCACACTCAAACTCCCTCCCAGAGCCTGACCCTGCACTCCCTCCCACACCTAAACTCCCTCCCAGGGCCTGCACCCCGCACCCCCTCCCACACCCCAACCCCCTGGCCCAGCCTGGTGAAAGTGAGTGAGGGTGGGGGAGAGTAAGCAAAGAAGGGAGGGGGGATGGAATGAGCAGGGGGTGGGGCCTCAGAGAAGGGGCGGGACAGGGGCATGGTCTTTGTGCGATTAGACAGGTCTTTGGGTTTGTGCGATTAGACAGTTGGCAACCCTACTGGGGGGGCACATGTGGAAGCCCTGGCCGTGCCGGAAGAGTATGCCCAGCAGTGCAACTGGCAGCTCGCTGGGCACCAGCCAGCGCAGGCGCAGCAACACTCCCCCCAAATGTCAGGCGGACACTGACTGCTCTGCCCAGGGGCCCGGAATTGCTGTCGGCGGGCTCGCAGAGCTAGATGTTAGAATGAAAGTTCCACATGGACTCATTTGCAAAGGAAGGATTTTAACTAGCACTTTAAGGGTAGAGCCCCGAGGATGACTTTTCCCAAAGGTGATGTAGTGGAAACACACTGAGTTTTGATCTCTCTGATAAGTTCAACTCCTTTCTAGAATGAGATTTTCTACGTAATCAAAGTATCATCTGACCTCATCCTCAAAGGAAACCTGCACAACGCTTTCAAAAGACAAGCCTGGGAGCTTAAATCCATAACTTTGCTAGACACTAAAAATCAGGGACTGAATAAATAGATACTGGGTTTATGGCTTATTATAATAATTTGTAACCCACTAACAACTTTCCACCCACCCCTTTCCTCCCTATGACTGTAGGGATGTGAACAGGCCACTTCACCTTGAATGGTTCCTTGAAATATGTGTTAACTACTTAGGCTAAACAATCTGTTCCATATTGTATTGAGCTATGACACTCTGATTAAGTTTCCCAAACTGGAAAAACAGCTTTGTGTAAGTTCAAAAGCTTGTCTCTCTCTCTCACCAACAGAAGTTGGTCTAATAAAAAATATTACCTCACCTACCTTGTCTCTCCTTACCCTCAGTCATTTAAAAAGAACTCTGTGAATGTTTAATAATGGAGGTAGTTGATGGATGTGTATGGTTGTGGCTCCATTGGATACAACTCTTCTCATTTATCTGATCTGCCCCATCTCTCTCTGCATAGACCTACATGGTTATCTCAGAGTTCTGCTCTGTAGTGTGCAATCATCTACTTCCCCACTTCCTGAACAATGGAACTCTGCTGGTGGCACCTGTGTTCAGAGCCTTCCACAATCCTTGCTTGTGCTGAAGTCTTTTGTTCTTCATGAGTGAATGTCGGATTTATGTATTACCATTTAAATTAACAAGCACATTGGAAGATTAAATGGTTGACATCGTCTGGTTTGAGACCTCTTTTGGAGATATTTACACCCCACAGTGTTCCTGATTAATATGTGAGGCATACACAATTCATGCATAAAAAGATACCGTGAAAACCACTGTACTTCGACTTCATTTTCTACTGTTCTATCTGCTGTGACTAAGAAGTGAAGACATCTGGGAAGCAGGGGGTAAAGAGAGAAAAGTTTAGCACTCTGATTCAATGCTAGAAGCATGCTGATTGCCCAAATGGGAACAGTGAGCTTTCCCTACCTCACTGCATAGCGGAGGTCTTGGTGCAGGTGTCGTTCTGCATTCATTTCCCAGGGAAACAAAATTATATTAGTGGAATGATGATGCTGACACTGCATGGAGATAAATAAAGGCTGCAGCACCCAGGGCTTGAGATTAGCCGGTAGTGCTACACAGGAAGACAATTGTAGCCATTTACTTATACAGCTGACACCCACGCCTGCATCTACAGATGGGTATTTTCATGGTAGCATACTCAGAGATGCACATACCCTTTCTCTTCAAGCACAGCATTTATACTGACATATTTTGTGGAAAAAACTATACCGTAGTTGCTTGTTTCATTGTTTAGTGCTAGCGTTTGCAATTACCAAAAACATTTGTCTGAATCATGCTTTTCACAAGAACAGAATCACAGCTATTTTTTTAAACTCATCTGTGTGGCAATCAGGGCCGGCTCCAGGCTCCAGCTTAACAAGCAGGTGCTTGGGGCGGCCAAGGGAGAGGGGCGGCACCTGCGGCAATTTGGGGGCGGCAGATCCCTCACTCCCTCTAGGAGCGAAAAACCTGCCACTGAACTGCTGCCGCCGATCGCGGCTTTTTTTTTTTTTTCCTATTGACGCCGATAGCGGCCGCAGGGTGTGATAGTGGCTTTTTTTCTGCTTGGGGCGGCAGAAATGCTGGAGCCGGCCCTGGTGGCAATAAAAGAAAGCCTTTGTTACAGTCTACTGCCTCTACAAGGCTGTCCATAACAGCTGCTAACCTTATTGAATGTTGAAGCTTATGCTCATTAAAAATGTCTGATTGGGATTTTCAAAGGAGACTCAGCAAGAGAGGTACATAAATCCCTTTGTACCATAGGCGTCGACTCCATGGGTGCACCCACCGGCCTAGACCAAGTGCACCCACTGGCAGAACGGGGGGTTGAGCTCCCCCAGGACCCGGAGGAAGCCAGTGCCTGTGCTTTGTACTTCACTGGATGTTGGGGAATTGAGGGTTAATACCCGGCATTATATATATATGAAGGAAAGCAGTTTGCTCATTCCTTGCATATCTTGAATGTGCTCAGACAAGGGTCAGCTGAGAAATACAACAACATTCAAAGGTGGCAAAATGTAAGCTCGGGATATGCATTTGAGGGCAGGTCTATGCTTCAAACAGTGCAGCGGCACAGCTGCACCAGTGCACCTATGCCTCTATAGCACTTCAGAGATGACACTGCTACGCCAATGAGAGAAGCTCTTCAGTGTAGTTAATCCACCTCCGTGAGAGGCAGTAGCTATGTCGATGGGAGAAGGTCTCCTGTTGACTTAGCGCTGTTGTAGCGTAGATTTTTCACACCCCATAGCGACGGAGTTATACCAATGTACGTTTATAGTGTAGCGCTTGCCTGAAATAACATTGTTTTGTTTTGAAGTATTCCTGGACATCGGGCAGCATGCTCTTTTCTGAGCCCACAGCTAGACATGCATTCACAGCCAATGAGTGATATTCTGTAGGGGTGAATTCCCCCATTCCAATAGCTCCCCATAAATCTTGACTCAACACACTTTGTGTGGGGGGCACTACATGGGGGCTGGGTAGGACAGAATCCATCCTGCGGGCAAGGCAAGAGGTAATTTTGTAGCCTGTTAATATCTACTGTGACAGCTCTGGACTGGAATAGGGGCCATGAACCATGCATGTTACATTATCGCAACCCTCCCTCTTCTTCTCCAAATCCTGCTTTCAGGGGTGGCCTATGCTGAACTGGCACAGAGTACTTCCATGCATTCATTCTGTAGCACCCTCCAGCCACTGTGCAGAACCACAGTGAGTCTGCTGTGGTTTGGAGTGAGAGTGCAGAAGAGAGTCTTGTCTCTTACCCTACGTGCATCTTGTAAACATAGTGCAGTTAACATGGGGTTAGTTTTGCGGTGACTGAGTTTACACTAGCTGTTCGCACAGGGGACCATTAGCACAACCATTCACTGTATTTGATGATGTTTTAATTGGCTATTTATCCTTATGATTATATTTCAGTTGTCTAGTTCTCTCATAATGCCTAGATGTGTCTAGGGGGACCACTTTATGAATACACTTACTGGAAGAATCACAAAATGTTATGGTTATTACAATAAAAATAAAGGAGCAGATATATGAAGATCTAATAACTAATCCCTTAACTAGGACTTTTTAATAGGGAGAGAGACTCTTGCGTAAGCAAACATATATGTGGCCAATCTGTTTTATGGTAATCTTCTTAAATACTCACCCCATCTAACTTCAGCATTTTAAATCTCCCTCTCTCTTTTGCAGCATTTGTCCTCTGCTGGAGTCCTTACTTTCTCTTTGATATCCTGGACAACTTCAATGTACTCCCTCAGACCAAAAAACGCTTCTATGCATCTGTGATTATTCAAAATCTACCATCTTTAAACAGTGCCGTTAATCCCCTTATCTACTGCATCTTCAGCAACATCCTCTGCCGTCCTTTTTTTGGGTACTGCTTCATTATTGCAGTAGCTGCTGTATATCACCTACTCTTCTTCCCTTAAAAAAATTGAAATAAAATAAAATAAAAGGGAGGGGGGACATAAATACAATTTTTAAACTTTACCAATTGTGTGTAGATAATTCTATTTTTTTATATTTTAATTTTTACCTCTTATTTCCTTTAGGAAAAGAAGAGCAAGAAACTTAGGGGGAACTTTCAAAGACCGAACTGATGGGCAGGAAATGCAGGCTGTGTCCAAGCCCGAATACATCTAGAGTGCATATATCAAGACCCCCGCTATTACTGCCTTGGGAATGCTGACATCTCATTCTTGCTCTGTAGCATATGGATTTCAGAATGGCATAGCAAATTCTTTCACTGTACACCCTATGGGCCAAATTCAGCCCTGGGATAAAGGAAAGTTGCATGCTCTTATGCCAAGACTGAATTTAGCTCTCTATTTCCAGAGAAGCTGTATCCAAGTACAGCTTGTATCCAAGCGGTGTACCTGAATGTAAATATATTTTATCTATCAGGATTTTCTATCTGTTTGTAAAGATTATCTTGTTGAAGCTATATACAGTTACCGACTGATGTAACTTGTAAAGAGCATTTAGAGCTAATTACAGACGGGGCCTTATTTAATACATTTGCAATGAAGTGTTGGCATCATCGCAACTCAGCCCACATTTAATTTATTGGTGAGATTTTGGTTTCTTTAGATACCACGATATATGAAGTATACAAAAAGGCGGCGGGGGGGGAGGAGGGAGATGGTAATTAATGGGTCAAAATCATCAGGGGATATAAACTGGTGTAGCACCATTGAAGCTTTAGAATGCCACTGTTTTATAACAGATGTCGATCTTGCCCCACCTGTTTAAGTAAGAGCTAGTGCAATATTTGTAAAACTACACCAGCGCAGATAGCTTAAATTGTTTAAAAAAATATGGAAGCCTCTAAATTGCAATGTAAAGCCAGATCCCACAAACACCTTTGTGAGTAGTCCCAGTGAAATCAACAGGACTATTTGTATCCATATTCCTGTTTGCCAAAGGTTATATTTAGTACACTTTTAACAACTGATGAATTGCCTTCAGCAACTAAAGAACTTTACCTCAGTTTTTGCTGTATTCTAGGTAGTCTCTATAGCAAACATGGGGCCGTTTATGTAATACTGCATATCAAGAGCTAATATTACCTATCTACTGTATCTAAGGCAAAATGAACACTAGCACCTACATGTTGCAAACTATGGGCAATATGGAATAGGATACCATTGCTGTCATTCTTGCATACCTTTGGGTCATTTTGGTAAATGCACTAGGTAAGCACTGTAATACCAGGTTGAGCTTGGCTCGCTCTCATTTGTGGACAGTAGTGCCAGTTTTCACAGAGCCTTTCATTCATCTACTGTACGCACTACTGTTTATGCTGCTGGCCTTGTCTGCATTCTGTTGTTGCTGCTCCCACACACGTTCTTTACAATGAATGTTCCAGTAGATTTTTGACTCACTCCACTGATCTCTCAGTGATGTGATATTACAGTCTTGTTACCCACATATAAATCCTGCTCAGGATAAGCTCTCTATAGCCCATCTATATTTTAAAGATTCCTCTTTTAACTAAGGCTAGGGATGGAGGGGGGAAAAATTATAGCCTGCTCAAATCTTCACCCTACCCAAACAGCTGACTCTAAATATTTATTCAGGTTTAGACTGGTTCCAATTTCAATTAATTCCCCCTTCTTCTGCCCTCTGACTCCAAGCATGAATGCAGTTACCACCCTTTTACCTTTAAACACCGCCTAGTTTCTTTCCACCTCATGAACCTCTGATAAACCCCAAACTCCCGCCTCTTCCAACCTGAGATCCCATACAGTAGGCCTGTTCTTGCACTGCTGTGTCTTTGGAGTTCCCAGTGTAGGATCCAGCATCTCTCTCTCTGCTTGTCCTAGGCCTCAATAAATTGAAACTATTGTATGCATTCTAAAATGTGCTGTACACCCTGGAGTGCAAAAAAAAAAAGCTGAATCTTCAAATGTAGGATGAAGAGAAGAGGGGTCAAAGATAGGGAGACCCTATTGGGATGAATTGGTGGGATCTAAAGTGTAAGATCATTGGGACAGAGATTGTTTTCTTTGTGTTAGTATAGTGCTAACACAATGGGGATCTGACCTATTTAGAACCTTTAGACACTGCTGTAATGTAAGAACATAAGAAAGGCCATAGTGGATCAGATCAATGGTCCATCTAGCCCATTGTCTCTGACAGAGCACTTATCAAGTGACCCTATTGTCCACTCCCAGCTTCTGGCAGTCAGAGGTTTAGGGACACCCAGAGAATGGGGTTGTACCCCTGACCAACTTGACTAATAGCTACTGATGGACCTATCCTCCATGAACTTATCTAATTCATTTTTGAACCCAATTATACTTTTAGCCCTTACAATATTCTCTGGGAAAGAGTGCCTCTGATTGACTGTGCGTTGTGTGAAAAAGTACTTCCTTATGTTTGTTTTAAACCTGCTGCCTATTAATTTCATTGGTGACTCCAGGGTCGTGTGTTATGTGAAGGAGTAAATAACACTTCCCTATTCACTTTCTCCACACCATTCATAATTTTATAGACCTCTATCATATTCCCCCCTTAGTTGTCTTTTTTTGTAAGATGAACAGTTCCAGTCCTTTAAATCTCTCCTCATATGGAAGCTGTTCCATACCCTTAATCATTTTTGTTGCCCTTCTCTATACCTTTTCCAATTCAAATATATCTTGTATGAGATGGGGTGACCAGAATTACACGCAGTATTCAAATTGTGGGCATACTATGGATGATATAGTGGCATTATAATATGTTTTGTCTTATCATCTGTCCCTTTCCTAATGGATCCTAACATTGTTAGCTTTTTTGACTGCTGCTTCAGGATCTATTGGAAGGTTACAGATAAGGAAATTCTCATTAAAGGAACCCAGGGAACAGGGAGGTGCAAGGGGACTATTGGCGAATTACAAGGAAGGAGGCAGAAGTCAAGCAACGCACTGTCAACTTGTGGAACTCCTTGCCAGAGGATGTTGTGAAGGCCAATACTGTAACGGGGTTCAAAAGGGAGCTAGATAGATTCATGGAAGATAATCCATCCATGGCTATTAGCCAGGATGGGCAGGAATGGTGTCCTTAGCCTCTGTTTGCCAGAAGCTGGGATTGGGGGACAGGGCATGGATCACTTGATGATAACCTGTTTGTTCATTCCCTTGGGGCACCTGCCATTGGCCACTGTCAGAAGCCAGGATACTGGGCTTGATGGACCTTTGGTCTGACCCAGTATGGCCGTTCTTATGTTCTATTAATTAGAGGGTCATGGAGAAGTGGAGCCTCAAAGTTAGGATAAACATGAGAAATTAACTTTTTATGGTTCAGTCTTGTCAAATCCAGGACTAGGCCATAGACGGTGATCCACCATGTTTCCATCATTTAGAATTCCCTTCCATAAGCTCTCAGGGAATCTTCCTTGCTTAGTGTTCTCAAATGCAAAACTCAATGGTGTCAAAGGGCTTGGCTACACTTGCAAGTTAGAGTGCATTAAATCAGCCCCGGGCACCATAACTCCTGAGGTGTCCACACTGGCAAGGCACTTAGAGCGCCTGAACTCTGCTGCTGGAGCACTCCTGGTAATCTACCTTCACAAGAAGCACAGAGCTTGCTGCATCCCTGCTGGAGCGCCAGGGTGTCAGTGTGGACAATATGTTGCATTACTGAGCTGTGATTGCCCTCCAGAAATGTCCCATAATCCCCTGAAGTTAAGTAGCCACTCTAGTCATTGTTTTGAACTCGGCTGCAGGCATGCGGATATCCCCTTTCAAAGCTCCATTTCTGACAGCTGGCTGCTTATCTGCTCCGGAACACTAAGCAAACCTTTACTGTGGAATGCTGCTGCTGCCGCTGAGGCAGGCGTTTGTGTGTGTAGGGCGGGGGGGGGGTTGCTGATGTCAGGGTTTCCCCCTTCCCCCTGCCTGAACTTACAAGACAGCATGCTGACCCCCAAAACACACAGTCTCTCCCCACACGTACACACAACATATTCCCTCTCACACTTCTCACCCCCTCATTTGAAAAGCAGTTGGCAATCTAATAGGATGCCCATGAAACAATGGGATTGGGAAACCTGCATCATGTGATGCTGTGCCTGCCCCATTAGGCATTGCAACCCCTTCCAAAGTACGCTGCTGTCACTTGCACACTGGGATAGCTACCACAACGCACTGCTCTCTGTGGCGTTGCAAGAGCTGCTAATGTAAACATGCTTCACAGTCACAAGGAGCAAGTGTGAACACACAGCAGCGCTTCCCCTGCTGCTGTCTCTGAGGGCTGGTTTAACTCCTGGCCCTGGTTTAACTCCTGGCGCTCTGCATCTGCAAGTGTAGCCATAACCTTACTGATTTAGCTGGTGGGCTAGCTATATTGATTTCAATATTTATTTTGGTGTAAGGCATCGTAAAATGTTTGCATGATACTGTACTCTGATCAGTTCTATTGCACTGTATATTGTACTATAAATTCTGATCTGAGTTTATTTCTCCTCCAAGATTTGCATTTCTATGTAAGTGGGATGTGTTTATAGGGGTTTTTATAATCCTTTACAGTCAGCTTGCTCCCTGCAAAGAAATCTGAATAAATCGTATTTGCTTATGTATATTACAGTAGTCATTTTTTTTTTAAACTAGTAGGTACAAGGCATCTCATTTATGGTTTATATGTTCTCGTGAGACCAAGATAATCAAAAAGAAAATCCTTAATATAATTATGTAAAAAAAAAAAAAGATTTATGATTAATTAAAACAATGAAGCGACAATTCCTCATAACAGAGTCACTTTAGACAGATTGCATGTAAGGATTAGATAATATTTCCTATTTTCAGTTATTTACAACCTGGAGAAGGGGGTGACATTTTTCAGGCTGAACTTGGCTTTAGCCTGGGAGGTTTTGTTTGTTTCTTTCTTTTCTGACGTAAACACACACATTTTCTACTTTTAAATTCTTAGCACATTTTAGAAATATATTATCTACATTTCAGATATTCTGCGGGGCTCCAGGAAAGTCAAACAGATTTTCATTTGACAAATTAATTTAAGCCCTGAGCCTGCAAACACTGAACTTGTGCTTCACTTTAAGAACATAAATAACTCCCATTAAAGTTAAGCACATGTATAAGTGTTGGCAGGCCCTGGGCCTCAAGCTTTATCTGAAACCAGTCACCATTTGGTTTCAGAGTAAC